ACTCGCCTAAAAAATTATCAAGCTTTTACAAATCTTAGAAAGTGGGTTCAAACTTGATAATAATGAACTTTTGAAATACATCCAATTGCACATACTCCACCCCCCCATCCCACCCCCCCAATCTGTGCTGTGTTATTTTGACGCGGGTGTTCTTATTTTGTTTAAAAGCCATGGAGCGTTCCCGAGGTGTTACGCCCTCTCTACGAATCTTCAACAATGCTTGCTCAGAAGACCACAATTGCGGTATGAATTTTTTTCTACTTTTTACTGAACTTAACAGCACTTTGATAACAATAAATCTGATTATTATAATGGTTTATTTTGTTTCTTCTTGCTTTGCTGCCTCCTAATGCAGGCACTGCGCCAACTTAGGCAGATTGCTCAGGATGTTTCCCAGTCTAGCGTAACCAACTGGGGCAGACGGCCTGCAGCTCTACGAGCACTTGGCCACAGGTTAAGCAGGTAGGATATTCTACTTATTTTGGGGGAATTCTTTTAGTTAATTTGTATTGAATATATTAATTCTTTTGATAGGGGATTTAATGAGGCTCTCAATGGGTTTAGTGATGAGGGGTGGTCGTTGATGGGGAGTGATGGCATGGATGATGTAACTATTGTAGTGAACTCTAATCCTGAAAAATTAATGGGCTTAAATCTCTCTTTCACGAATGGATACCCATCCGTTTGCAATGCAGTCTTGTGTGCCAAAGCATCTATGCTCTTACAGGTCAGTATGCTCCACAGGCTGAGTTGTTTTTCATATATAAATGAATGTTATGGTACTTCATACTGAAACATTATGTTGCTATGTTGTTTTTAAGTTTGGTACTGATGGGGTCTACATTATTTAGAATTGTTATTATGCTATTTCTAAATTTGGTTGTTGATTCACTCAGTGACTGAAGCTTTCCAATTCTTTAGAGTTTTCTCAATAAGATCAATGAATTAAATCATGCCTAAGAGATTCCTTTCTCAACCGCTCGACGCAGTATAGTTTGATGGAGAATGGTGTACAATGCAAGAAATGTGGCACACATTAACAAACATGTTCCGATTTGCTGGAACACAAAAGAGGACATAATTTTGTAGAAAACAATATTTGGCAAGAATGATAGTACTGTCTAATATATATACACACACAAAATACGTAAAGTTTGTAGATAAATATCCTACATATAGGCATATTTATATAGACATAAAATGGTTTGTACATATGATATATAAGCTTATGTTCACATTATTAGCTTGTTTGTTAAGTTAGAGTATATTGTATTAGGCTGTATTAAGAAAGTACGAGAAGTTTTTCATCCATTATACTGTCAAATATTGCTCATCAAACATGTCTTGTATGGTTTGTAAAGAATTTTTTGAGATATGCGCCATCAAGCATATATAAATATGATATGGTTTCTAAAGGACCTTTAATATACAGCCATGTATATATTAGTTTTGATAGGATGTTTGTCTTGAGTTGAATTTCAAGTCATTCTTTAGCGCTATGATGCTTCCGAACATTTCATACAACAAGTTTCCTTCCATAGGGAAAATGGGAATTTGGAAACTATCTACATTATCTTTTCTGATAGAAAAATCAACGTCAAACAGCTGAAATTGGTTTTCGATTGATAGGAGGTTTGGAAGTTCCAAAGCTATTTTATAATAAGATGTTGATTTCACCTCTGTGTTCCATGCATGAAATTTCTCTAGTAATCGTTTGAACAAATGAAGTTACGGTGCATCCTCTCCTCGGCATCAGTAATTCTTTGAGTGACAGAAGTGATGGCAGATGCATTCTTTGTTAGCTAGAAATATGTTTTGAATCTTACTAATGACAACCATTTGAATTGAGATTGATATTTCCGTCGACTAGTACCGACTTTGTCCTTGAAATAGAAGGCATGCCTTTGCAGTTTATCCTTACTTTTTTGTCTCCAAAATGTGCAATTAGTATTTGTTCACATATCATATTGTGGTATAATTTGCTTATTCATTCTCTTCTTTTTGGGCTTCAGAATGTGCCTCCTGCAATACTACTCAGGTTTTTGAGGGAGCACAGGTCAGAATGGGCAGACAACAATGTTGATGCTTACTCAGCCGCTGCTGTTAAAGTTGGTCCTTGTACCTTTTTAGGGTCCCAAGTTGGTTCTTTTGGGGGTCAAGTTATCCTTCCGCTGGCTCAGACCATTGAGCATGGAGAGGCAAGTAATTTGAATTTCTTTTCATCATAGATTTATATTAATGTTTTTAGAATGCGATCCTCATTCATTCCTGGAATTTTCATGGTCCAATGTAAATTATAAGTTTCATTTATGCTTAATAGCTGCTGGAGGTCATCAAGCTGGAAGGTGTTGGCCATTCTCCTGAAGATGCAATGCTGCCTAGGGATGTGTTCCTTTTGCAGGTAAATATTGTTTACTCATCTCTGTTTTATGTCCATCCATTTTAAGAGTATTTGTGTTGCTCCATGAAGCATGTTAAACAGGGCATGGATAGTCTATTTCCACGTGATGAGTCAAAAAATTCTAGATGTTCAGCGTGACCAATTTTCTGTTGAGGTGGTTATCAAGTTTTTAATATCTGATAGAATGTGTTTTGTTCACACAGCATTACTTGCATAAGACTTAAAAGGGAGTAGCATTAACACAAAAGCTGGGACCTAAGTTGTTTCACGTGTTTCTTTAAACAATTTAAGGTAAAATAAGTAGAAAGTGAATGCTTNCTTTTCTGTGCCATAGATGCTCTCATATACCTCCTCTGCTTTTTAGGATTTGATCTCTAGTCCTGAATACTGAGTTTTCATGTGTAAAAGGATACATCAACAAGAGCTGAGCTGAATGTCCTATAAATATGTTTCACTTACTAAATGATATCTGAGATGGCTAATCTGTAGGCTTTCTTTGTTCTGGAAAAAGTTTCAGCTGGCTCTTGCTTATACGATGCCGGAGTTACGTATGCGTAGACATGTTCCATTGTAGTCTTCTATATGTGCATTTGCATGTGTTTGAATGAATCACATGGGAGAGAAAGGAAGTTAGAGTAACCCAAACTCCAAACTTTAATGTGGCTGCTAATGTTATGATGAAATGAAAAGAATGATCGTGAATGATAAATAAGCTAAGATCATCAAAATTCCCACCATGATTCTCAAAAATGAAGAATAAGATAAGTGCAAGGCTTATCATGTTTTTTAACCTGAGTCGTGGTAAAAGACATGATAAAAAATATTTAAAAATACTAACACAGCAAAATTTTAGGCCTTCAAATATTGAAGGAAGAGTGACTATTTGCTAGCATATTCTTTCATTTATAGGTCTTATGGATAATAAAAATTGCTTAGGATTCTTTCTTCTTTTGTGAAATCTGGTAAGTGATTATGACTTCAGGTTGAAAAGTATCCTGTTTGTTTTTTGGGACTTAAAGTCACAACATACTTTCTGATTATGAGAATCTTGTAGGTATATGCTTAAGGGATCAGTGCAAAAAGCACCCAAGAACTCTGTGTGCCTCACGCAATTATTCTTATTTCCCCATGTAATTAATCCAGGGCAGTCCTCCCTCAAGTGTGTCGTGAATGCATTTTAAGACACTGATTATATGTTGTGTAGTCTATTTTCTTGCCTGCCAAGTATTTCTGCTCAGTGTCTCATCTCTTTGAAATTTTACAGCTTTGTAGTGGGATAGATGAAAATGCAGTTGGCACATGTGCTGAACTAATATTTGCCCCTATTGATGCGTCTTTTGCTGATGATGCTCCTCTCCTGCCATCTGGTTTCCGCATCATTCCTCTCGATTCTGGCAAGGTGAGTGTTCATGTACAACTTATGTATTTTGTATTTGTTACTCTCACAGAGGACCGAATTCTACTGATGAATGAATTTGTGGCATATATATCCCATCAAACAGGTGGAATAGAAATTAGGAAATAAATTAATCCAAATCTCAAATGATTTTGATTTTTTCTTGATTGACCCTTCAATGCTGTGTAGTTGCACCATTAAGTCGGAATTTCTAAAAGTGAGTGACAAAAAAGTAGAAATACTCCAATTAGAATGCTATGACAAGTATTTCTGAAGAGAAGATGATGAACTGATGGAAGGTTAGGAATTGATTTTGAGGCTTAAGACTGGATGATATGTTGTGTGAATACCTTAAGTAAAAATCTGGTTTCTAGTTATTAGACTTGAGTTACAATTATGTTCAAGAATTGGTGGATGGGGACAACTACGAAATTATACACAAGCAATTTTGCATCTCAAATAAAGGATTTTGATTATTTATTTGATTGATCATTAAATGGTCTTCGATTAATTCCATTACTAACTTCCCATATCCCTTTAGAACCTCTTTCTTGGACCTCTATTTATATGATTCTGCAATGCGACATAGGAAGCTTCGAGTCCAAATCGCACCCTGGACCTTGCCTCTGCTCTTGAAATTGGAACTGCAGGAAATAAAGCATCAAATGACATTGTTGTTACCAGTGGCGCTACAAGATCAGTCATGACAATTGCATTTGAATTTGCATTTGAAAGCCACATGCAAGATCATGTTGCATCAATCGCCCGACAGTATGTACGTAGCATCATATCATCAGTTCAACGGGTAGCATTAGCTCTCTCTCCTTCTCACCTGGGTCTGCAAGCTAGTCTTCGCTCACCACTTGGAACTCCTGAAGCACATACTCTTGCTCGTTGGATCTGCCAAAGTTACAGGTAACACTTGCAACATCATTCATGTTTGTCAGTTTGATTTCGCAATATATGATTTCACAGTGAAGATGTGAGGGGAATCTAAGGCCCAAGGTTTGTGCTGAGAATGCAACTGACCTAGACAAACTTTTGGGGTATGCTTTTATGAAATTCGTGGCATTTTGAATGATTTAGTCTGTTTGCTCTGCATCTTGATAGGAGCTATATGGGTGTTGATCTTCTCAAGTCTGCTGGTGAAGGGAGTGAATCGATCCTCAAAGCTCTG